TGCGTATATGTTGGTCTAATTTAAGTTCTACTTTGATTTGTGCAGCATTTCAAAAAAGTTATGGAATTTCCGTAATTTGTTAGAGAATTCAGAATTAACACTACTTCTTGATGGTCAAATTTTTGGGATAAAGATTATTGTTTGATAGAGAAGTTTATCAAACAATATTTCAAGCATTAATTGCTTTGAACTTGGTTTTAGATTTTGAAAAGTCATATATATTGACACGAGGGAAAATAAAAATATTCATATCATTATAAATTATTAATATTGCTACAATTAAAATCAACCGTATAAGATTAATTTTTATCTAATTATAATAGTATCAATTTAAGCTCTAAATACTAAACTACGTTACAACTAAAATGTATTCCATTACTTTAAAGAAAACAAATCCAGGGAGAAGTTGTTAATATGCACTAATCAATTTAATCAAACAGTAGTAAATAATTTAAATTTGATCTTTGACAGAAATAAACTATGACCAGACTTTACTTATCTTTCGACTAAACTAAAATAATTTAAGATAAAACCTTATAACACTAATGTAAAATTAAAAAATAAAAATAAAAATCGAAAACAGAATGGATCTCATTAACTAAATAGCATATTTAATCAACAGTAGTAAATAATATTAAATCTAAGTAAATTCTATATATTGGCTGAAGCTATGTGATAATATTTATTATTATTATTATTGTTGTGATTGTCATAAAAATCGGTTTTTATTTATTTATTATGTAATATTTTTTTTATAATTTCAAGAATTTATGATGCTTCTTGGTGTAAAAAACAATGCTTCTAAGATGAGTTTAAGAATATTGATATGCAAAAGATAAAGTAGTAACTTATGTACGTAGATAGATAGCTTAAGGAGCATGAGATAGATACCCTACCCATAATCTAAAGTTGAATACAATAACGTTTATCCTGAAATTATGGAGACATTATTTGTAAGAGACCCTTAAGGTACTTGTTTGATCAAACATCTACAAATTTTGTCCTAGCCACTATCACTGGGTATGTCATTTATGCCATTATAATAATTTTTTACTTATTGTTTTTGTTTCATATATATTTTTTGCTTATTTGTTTCCTCCAAATTTTGTTTAACTTTCATTTTCATTTTCTGCCATTAATGGTAAGTTATTTGCATGAGATTTGTTTACAAATTTGACATAAATTATTTCCAAACCAAAATATTTTATAATTTTTTTTACATCGATGGTACAATAATCATGTCAAAATATTCTCTTTTTAATATTAATGGAAATAACATCAATTCCACAATTTTAAAATAATCAATGTAAAAAAGACTTCATACACTAATTAGAAGATAAAACATAAACAAATACTTCTATAACTTAATTGATGTCAACTATTGAATAATGAACATATACAAATACAAGTTTCATTATAAACCTTTTAAAAAATAAATTAAATTAATATTATAAATAATATCTTAAGTCCAATTTATACGATATTTCAATCACTTAATTTTATTTTCTTGGACTCCTTAGGCCCAGCCTACTAAAAAAAAGAGAGAATTATTCTTAAAAAAGATTTAATTTTTTTAATAGATAACAAAAAATACTTCGATCACTTTTTTCTTTCCACCGTAGATAACTTTGTTCTTAATCTATATCTATAAAGATTATTATAGATAACAAAAATTCTCACTATGAAATTTGAAGTAGTTCAGTGATATCTCTCATTTAATAACGACCCATTAAGAATTTTATAATATAATTTAAAGTTGATGATTATTCTCGTAGACCTGTCTGTATAGCTGATGTTTGGCCATATTTTGTTTTTTGGCGGCAAATTAAAGATGCTAAAAAGAATGAGAACAAACAGAAGGTAGTGCTACTAAATTTGTGTTAGAAAAGCTAAGATTGGCCAATATTCACATAGTGTACATCTATCTAATAACTTGAGTGATGGAATAGATTCCAAATTATCTAATAATCTGGAAAGTTATACCATTATATTGTCTCATGTTCATCTATATATATGCATTGTGCATGGAAATTTAATGTACGTTGCCAAGTATTCATCAAATTTATCTTATCGAATTTCATGAATCAAACGAAGTGACTCTGCCGTGACACTTTTTCACTGATTCATGTCCAAATATTGAGGTCAATATCAGATTCCTTTTTAATTAGAGCATAACTAACAACTAACATAATTAAATCAATCTTATACAAGAGCAGATTTGGGCTGATTGTAATGATTTGGACTTAAGGTATACTTTAAAAAAGAAATATATAAAATTGTTAATTGAAACATGAACAATTGAACTATTAAACTTGTTACAAAAATACATGTACATCTACGTAACAATGGGCCCAATAGTTTAAACTTGATTTTTTTAATAAAATAAATTATTTTCTATTTTTTATCTCTTTATTTTAAAAATAAGTATTTTTTTTTAAAAAAAATTCTATCTGTTTCTTTAAAAAAAAATTGTTTAAACAAACTGATCCAATAACTTATATAATTAAGATTTTAATTATTAATTTCCTGATGAACAACTTTAATTAGTGTCTAAGATATACATCACACTTTAAGGAAGTTCATGTTTTATCATAAAATTAATTCATATTGAAAAGGAAATTAAAACAAATACGATTAACTTACTCTCTGCACGTAAGAAAATGATATTTTAATTTAATTCATTTCCTTATGAGTATAAAGGGATAAACTGAGATGATTTTTCTTTCCCTCAAGGTATAAAGGGATATGAAAACTCATAAGAGGAGTTTTCGTATGAGAGTAAAAGAAGTAAATCTAGACGACACAATTATATATAATTAATTGGCTATGATTAAAAAAAATTTTAAAAAAATATGATCACTTAAAAAATTATATATTTATGTTTTAATTTTAATCTTTTACGATTTCATATTTCCTTACAAATCTTTGAATATAAAAAACAAATTGTAAACAATATAACAATTTTGTAATTAAAAAATAAAATTTGAAAATACAAGTTAACGCATTGAAAATGTTTAAGGAGCGAGAAATTGTACTAACAAATTAAAAATGAGGTGTGAAAAGTAAAACTGGGGTGTTTTAAAAATAAACTCATTGTCAATATACAATAAAAGAGGCCCATTTACTTAGGAATGAAGAACAGGTGCATTGGTAAGCCTATATCTATTTTACATCAGCCCATAATTTTAAGGCTTATGATATATGCACTTTCATTTCTATGATAAGTATACTTTTTTTAAAAAAAATTTCTTAAAATATATTTAATTTTGTATTTTGTATTTTTATTTTTAGATATTTAATTTTTAATTTAATATTTTTTTATTCTTTTACATACATCTTTCTTTTTCTTTG